CCCCCGCAAAGACACATGAATCCTGAACCGTATAACTATATATATATATATATATATGCTTATATATATATATACATAAATCCAACAGGGACTCTGGAGTTTAGACAGCCTCCATATTCAGTCGAAGGCATTCCTAGGAACAGGTACGTACGTACCAGTTCGGGTATATAAGTGGATCGTCATAGGGTTCACGTAGTACAAGAGCACAAATACCGACTGGACTGTCCTTTCAGGACGAGTGCACGGAGGCTGAAAAACTGCACTTCAGACTTTTCGCGGTTATGTCTCAATCCAAACCCACGTTTGTTGAGGTCTTTCCGGGCCCGACATACTGGACAATATGTAAGGAGCTTTCTTCCAAGCACTTAGTTGCTAATTTTTTGACAAGAGTCTCCAGTCACAAGGCTCAAAGCATTTTCGACATGCAAGAGTGTACAGGTGGAGTATTTTCAACAGTCTTTGGTGCAAGACCTCTGAAGTCCGTTCCCAAACAATTACTATGGACCTGAGTATTCATCGGAGCAGTGAATAGTAGGTTGAATATTGATTGTCGTGATCTTTTCTTATGATACGGTCAATGTGCATTTGCTTACGATTCCAAGCGACTATAGGGACCATACATGTAACTTCAAAAGGCAGAACCACTTTGGAGAGGATTAGTCGAAACTTGCAAAAGCTCATGTAGACGATCCTATGGCGAAGTTGCGCCTTAAAACTTATAACTTATAACATGCCCTAAGTTTGATTATGTGGTGCCAAGTATTTTTTTTTATTGATTTTCTTTGACATTGACTTCCTAGGCCGGTCTGGCAGGTTTATGGATACTTAAATGACTTAAATGTCGTTTGTCTACCATAGTGATGACTTTCAGAGCTTATGATCTTATGGTTTGCCGTCGCCACGGCCTTACAACGCGCAAAGGCTAAGACATCGTTGTGCTTTTACGAGTAGTTACGTTTCGGGCTCGCATGACTATATGGGAGCCTGGCCTTTTCCTACACCATCCGGGCGGGCTGAATATTCCGCCTTTTCTAAAACAGGCGCCTGCCCATAGTGGCAGGCGGAAAAAAAGCCGACAGGCGTAATCGTAGTTTTATAGGGATGGAACAGCATTCGAAGGATAAGAATTGGACCAGGGGATTATGCATGATTGATTGCCGGCTCAAACCATGACTAGCTGGAGCTCCTTGTGGGCTCATGAATGATGGAAGGTGCGACCCTCCCGGCCCGCTTGCACTTTGTTTTGCATGTGCCACTTGCATTATGCTGGTTGCATGGGGCACATATGAACTCGCCGTTGTTCTGTCGGGCTTATTCAGCTTTGACTTTTGTGTTTAGATTCCCTAGCTCCTGCTTTTCGCGCTGCTACCATGGTCCTTAATGTCAACATGGTGCTGTCCACCGAGTTGGCTCGTGAAGGCTGGTTCTTTTTACTTGTAATAAGCTACATTGCACTCGTCATGCAGTACAAACAAACAGCAGCACGAGGTCTCCTCGATATGCCTGACCTTTTCTGGATGAGATGCCAAGAGCTCCTTTACCCAGAAGATGTAGCCCAGGCACGACAGACTGTCTTTCAAAACTATAGCTTGGGTTCATCAGATGATCCAACCCATAACTTTACCCTAGATCTTTCCAGGCTCGCCCAGACGACGAGAGACTGTGGACCATGCTGCAGAACTACCGCCTGAAGGGTGTCATTCACTATCTGGCCCTGATCGTGAAAAAGCATACCCGCCCTGCCCTTAGATGTATAAACGAAGACACGGTAGTCCCATAACTGAGGGTTCTAATCCGGCTTGGGTTTGGGCTTAAGGTTTTTGGGCTTAGGATTTCGGGCTTAGGGTTTGGGGCTCCTTTGGGGGGGCTTACAAGGTTTGGGGCTTAAAAAAAGGTTCCTTAATTAAGGCTTCATTGGGTCTGGGCGGGGTCGACTCGCTGACGTTTTCTCCACGCTGGGCTCAGGCTGCAGTGGCGATGCGAGGACGTCGCCTGCCCAGGTGTGAGTTAGCAGGACACTGTGCTGCATGTGGCCATGGACAGGTTTATAAACCCTAAACCCTATAAACCCTAAACCCTAAACCCTAAACGTGGCTGGTAGCAGACAGTGGGAATCCCGCATACAGCTTGGCCTTTGCTTGGCGATCGGGGAATATCGCCATAGGATTGCGAGCTAAAATACACCTGGGAAGCTACTGCACCATGAGCATTCCGAATTGCACCATGAGCATTCTGTAGGTTAGGACTGCAGCCCCAGAACCCTCGCAGGTTTGAACTGGTTGGTCGCTGCTTTTTCTGGGCCGACTGGTGCATGGAAGGCTTTGCTTTTTATGGGCACCATGAGCATTCCGAAGCCAAGCACCCTCGCAGGTTTGAAGTGGTTGGTCGGCGGCCTCTCTTGGGCTACTGGTGTCTTCAAGGCCCTGGCCTATATCACATATGATTTCAATACATTGCAAATTTCCGGGAATGTGCAGGCGGTCGGACAAACCACACGTGTTGTGCTCGCAATACTTCGACTTCTGGTGTGTGTGGCCCTCAAATAGATGCTTCTTTTCCGACCATACAGTACTGATCCACATAATACCTTGGCGAGGTTTTCCTCGTTCCTTCGTTGCTCCTTCGCGAGAGCTCCGAGGGATCCCGAGTCTGACCCTCAATGTAATACAATACTCAAGCCCCGATGCTGCTGCCCAGTGTCTGGCTTTGTGTGTGGTGGCCGGACTTTGCTGCCCAGCAGGATCGGTTTCCTGCCCTGGCCTTATAAGTGAATGCATGCTGGTAATCCATGACCTTATACCCAGCAGAACTCCGAAGCTTTTCCCAGGTGCTGCTTCGCCAAGCCTTCCTGGCTTGGCCTGCCACAGCACTCTTCGAGTGCTGCCCCTCCCGCTGGTGATTTCAGACTGCTGTGGTTGATCGGTTTGTTCGCTAGCTTACCTGTATTCGCAGATGTTCGCAGCATTTGCTTGCAGCAGGGGCGGTTAGTGCAGACTTTGCTTCAATGGCAGGGATTGATGCAGAGGACGAGGGCCCACTTCTCGAGGGTCTGGATTTGGATGGGCTTGCAGCGGCCTGGGGCGATGATTCACGAGTGCGAGAACCACTGCTTAAAAATGGAACATTGTTCCAGTGGCCTTCCAAGCAGACCTGTGGGATTGTGAGCTTTGGAAGCTTAGCAATGAACTTTGCTGTCGTGGATCACTTGTTGGATGTTTGGTGCTGCCAGCTCACGGCGGCCAAATCCATTTACATCCCTCACGCCAAAAAGCAGGCACTGCTTCAAAGCTGCATGTGTTCCGCCTGTGTGTGAAGTGTGCATGTGTGTGCCTTTGTTTCAACTCCTGTCCCTGCTGTTCAGATCCTCAAGCTTCGAGAAGATTTGTCCCTGGATGCAAACGAAATCCGAGTCAACTGTGATGCAGTGACATTGCGGGCATTTATGTCCTACATGGTCAGACGGCATGATGGTGCACGACGAAAGGTTTCTTATCTGCAGGTTTTATGATAAGGATGCAGTGCACACGTTGCATGGATCTGTTGCTCAGGATGCTCGTCTTCGCATGCTGTTTGAGAAAATGACTGAGTTCTGGGAGCCTGCTGTTTCCAAGCGGAAGAAGACGAAAGCAGAGCAAAAGCTGGAGGAGGAAGAGGAGGATGGTGTTCCCCCCGAGGATTTTCATCCTTCCCCTGAGGAGGAGCAGGATGAGCACGAGAAGGCGACCATGGATGCTTACATGAGCACTTTGCAGCACAGGTCTGCTCAGGCCGCCGAGTTGGACAGCTTGAGCCATGCAGCTGCAGGCGAGGATGAAGCATCCTTGGCCCATGCTCTTGGAACAGCAGACATCGAGCCTGCTACTCCAGTTGCAAACATGAAGACGGGTTTGTCTGAGGACTTTCAGAGGCTTGGCCTTGCCACGGTGGCCAAGAAGGACTCTGTGGTCATTGAGCTGGGTGATTCACCGGTTCCGTTAGCCCCCTGCATGCCTTCGACGAGCCTTCCTGGG